TCACAACATCTTTTAAATTCATTCCCTTTGAACATTTATTAAGAGCCGATGTTTTCTTCTCTAAATAACATTTAGGACTACATTTTAAATTATAATCCAGTACTCACAAAGTTTCACAAAACACTGACTACCCTCTCTATGTGTGATGATGCACTCTGATACTTTCAATGCTATTCTAATGTTGGTAATGACCCACTAAACTGATTTCACAATCCATTAATAGGATATTACATGCAGTTTGAAAAACACTGACTTGGTCCAACAGATGAGAAACATGAAGTATGAGGAAACTGAGTGGCTTAAACTCACAAGGAAAGTGAGTGGCAATCGTGTGCATATTCTGTGCAAGTCAATGATTGGCTTCTAGAATGTAACTTTTCTGTAGATTATTTTTTCATTATTCTAATTTGTTATTGCTTGATTTCTGCTCCCCTCGCTCTCCACTCCCTTCCTATTTAACATTTCATACACAATTTTTCTACTCATGCCTTGAATTTGATACTGTTTATGTGGAGGGCATTAGTTTAAGCTTACTGGGCGAACTGGTATCTTCAATCAACAAGCCTATAGAAGATTAAGAATCCTAGATCAATATGCCACCAGGTGAAAAAGCAGATGAAAGCTATACATAACAAGACAGAGAATGAAGAAACAGCATCAGGCCAACTTTTCCAATAGATGAGAACAAAGATTTAGCAGACAAGTATTTGCTGAGCACCTACTCTATGCTGGTCATTATACCTCTGTCACATGCTGTTTTCTTCCTTGTATTATATTTAAGTATGTCTTATCTCTCCTATCAGATTATAAGCATCTGGAAGACAGATTTCATGCATAACTTGTCTTTGAATCTCCCATAGCATCTAGCATAGTATCTTGAGATCAACAAATATTTGATTAGAGATGGATAAACCCGGCTGAATGAACAAGACAAACACACCAGTATGCATATAAGCCTCTTCCTCTCAGCAATATTAAAGAAAGCATCATTTGAGTGCCTATTGTCTGTGCCCCAGATAAACAAACAATAAAATACTGGCATAATCTTACCCAGGGGTTATGTAAAATATGATCACATATCCTTGAAAGGTGAAACAGTAGAACAGCTGAACCAGTGCCTGAAACAGCACTACCTGACCCACTATGCTCACTTAGATGAGACCACCAAAATATATTTTCATTAAATTATCAAATACTTATTGAGAGGCTACTTATGGGCCAGGTATTGTGCTAGGTGCTGGGCTACAGTGGTGAGCAAGAATGAATCTTGTTCTCAGGGAGCTTTCCGTCTATAGGGAAGACAAACAATAACAAGAAAGTTTGCTAAATACAAAGACAGTAGAAATACCTAGAAGAGGCAATGAAGTCAGATTTGGGAGAAGGCAAGGGTGTGAAAGGGAGGCTTCAAGAGGGCTTCTTAGAGGAAGCAATAAATTGAGATCTGAATTATGAGGGGAAGCTAGATGAGCAAAACCTAGGCAAGAAAATCTAGGAGAGAATATGGTGGATAACTTCACCCTTATTTTTAAAGATTCTAGAAAGCTGCTCAGTTGGCTATGCTCAGTAGTTGAGCGTTGACCTATGAACCAGGAGGTCAAGTTTCGATTCCCGGTCAGGGCACATGCCGGTTGCGGGCTGGATCCCCAGTGGGGGCCATGCGGGAGGCAGCCGATCAATGACTCTCTCATCATTGATGTTTCTCTGTCTCTCTCCCTTACTCTCTCTGAAATCAGTAAAAACATATATTATATATATGTGTGATTCTAGAAAGCTGCTTATATCATTCACAGAACTTTTCCCCTTTCCTTGATAGTTCATAATGCCCAACATTCCTCCTCCAACTGCCAACCCCAGATCCAGCCTCCCAACATGACCGTTGGTCATTCACAAGTGTTATATTCTCACAAAACTGCCTCAGAGCATAAAGTAACAGAAGATCAACAGTGATTCTCTACTGTTTTCTACTAAAACTGCTCAACACATGGGTATATAATGGAATATGCACATATAATAAAAAATGTATTCCGTGGGGTATGCTCATTTATAATTCTGATTGCCTATGGCATCTAGTAGGATCTTTCACCAAATAAAAATTCAGTGGCTCCATACCAATAAGGAGAACATCCCCAAAATACCCACCAGGAAAACAAAATGCACCTAATTCTTTAAGTGAACAATTAATTTATAACTAGAATAAAAACACACTCTGGCCTAAACAATAATTTACAACTTTATAATTTTATGCCTAATTCTCCTTACATGAAAAGATACACAAAAAAGGAATTAAAGGAGGAAAGTTACATGAAAATAAGCATATAGGTTATGAAGATAATCGCTGAGGCATGGGCAAGGTCTATTTTATTACCAAGAAGTAAATTTATTTTCAGATCAGTGACGGTCAATATTGTTATTTATCCTCACTTTGTTTTAATTAACAGGTGCCATGGCACCCACAAAGAGGTTTTTAAAAGTCTTACAGATGCCATTGTGTCTCAGAGAGGTTTGTCTTGTACATCTGGGAGTCAGCTTGTACTTATCTAAACCTCACACACAATTAAATGTTCTCAGTAGGTACAGCTTTAGTTTCAGCGGAATAGGGTTCCAGGAAACCCCATTAGGAGTTTCACTATTTACTCTACACCAACAAGGGCAGCTGGTGCCTTTCGGCCACGGTGCGTACTCTTTTGTGCATGACCAGCAGACCTTTTCCTCTTAGTGTGATTTCTCACAAGTCAGATTTTAATCTTTCATGTTTTATCAAAAAACTAAGAATAATACTTTACAGTTAAAATTGTATTTTTAAAGGCTATACAAAAAGCTCAAAAATAATTTTGAAGTATACCATCCCAGCCAGCTAGCTCACTATATTAATGGTGGCGGGTCACGAGTACGCACGTGTTCCGTGTCCCGACGTTGCTGACCGGTCACGAGACAACTCGTGTCTGCACTTACATTAATTTAAGTAATTTTAGACACCTTGCTGACTGGTCACCACGGAAAAGTAGCCTGCTGCACCGGCGAGTTATGGCGCGAAATAGCCACAGGTTGTTAGCATCTCCTTTAATCTTATACTGCTGAAAACTGAGCGTTTCCCTTCAACTCTCCCATGTTTAGCTACAACCCAGTAAAAATGGCTGGGCTGCCAATGACCCAGATAAGTACAGTTAATTCAAGATTCCAACTCCTATTTCCAGGATTAGAACATTCACAATACCTGCTGCTTTAAACACTTGAACTTTCTAGTTTCACTGAAGTTGAGAGCTGTCTTGCCTAGAAAGTTCCAATTTTATTTTCTCAATTTCTGATAACAAACAAACTTGTTTTTCACTGAAGGGAACAAAATCAATGATATCCTACCGAGTTTCTGCTGGGCCGAGCACAGCTGCAGGGTTGCTATAGTAACTCTTGTACACTGACCATGGAGTGTCCCTGTTCAGGAAGGAAATCATTTGCTCCACCCCCTGAAGAGTCAAAGGCTCTGGCAAGCAGCAGTCTGTGAGCTGGGACACATTTTTAGTCCAGCAGGTGTGACAGAGGAACAAGAGACCATTCTTTATTGCCTCTCAGTAAGAAATGTCACTCCAACAACCAAAACAGACTCCAAACCAAGTTGCAGTGTGTGATCATGTATTTCTGCACCATGGGAGGACTCTATTCTTTACCCAGTTCTACTAGAAACCTCAGCTAGGGAACAAGCAAAAGCAATTTCCTCCCAGGCACATAGCAAAAGGGAACCCCTCCAAAAAAAACAAAGACCCCCTCCCCCCGCCAAAAAAAACACCCAACCAAGTAAATTAGAATATTCCCACTTTTATGAAGAATGTGTTTTGGCTCTTGCTTTCAGGCTTTAAGCCATGTAAACAGGTTCTTGACATTTTCCCCCCACTCAGACTTAACATTTATTGAATTTTTACTTAGTGCCAACCTTTCTGCTGGGTGCTTTAACATGTTACTTCATTTACTCCTCACAATAGCCCTGTGAGGTAGACAGTAATACAATCTCCACTTTACAAATAAGACACAGAGGTTCCAAAAATTTATTTGATGTTCAAGCTACTAAATGGTCGAGTCACAATTTGAACCCAAATCTAATTCTGAAATCCATTTTTTTCTACAACACTACACTGATTTTGCAAGAAAATTCTAAATCAAAATATTCAAGCATTCTTAAAATGACTTTAAAATTTTTATGGTATTTTGTTTTAGAAATACATTTCCATAATAACGACTTCACTACTGATATTCAGCCACCTTAAGTGCACAGAAAGATAAGGCTACATTATGGTCCTGGTTTTTGTTTGTTTTTTTGCTAAATATAAACTACAGAACTCACATTCTTGAGAATGAAAGGCAGAGTAGAAAAACAGGCAAGGTGAGGAAACTGAGTTTAGACTATGTACTCTGTGGGCCATCTCTGGGGCTGAAGAAGCTGATATAGAAGGAGTGAAAGTGAGTGAAGACACATGTACTTATTTAAACCACAGGGAGAGAGAAACTTTTATCTCTGCCATTAGTTATTTTCAAGGACAATTCCAAGTATCACTCTGCCTGTTCTCAGTCTTCCCCTCACTTCAGGTATGGAAAGGTCTTCTAACATAGTACATCTTCTTACTGAGAATGAGTCATAGTTCTCCCCAGAAAGACCACAATTATCCCCTTCACAACACTTTTTGGGAATTTCCTAGGAGGACATGAAGACTGTCTTTTAAAATTGTTTTTCCTAGCTCCCCAAGATCCTAACCAAAAATTCTTTTACACCTATAGCTTGAACATTCCCCCAGCTGTGGATTCAATAAAGGTATACCTCCAATTCTGTCCCTTTGGAATCACCACTTCTTAAACTGTTTCCCTATTTTCTAAGTTCCTCCCTCCCAGTGTATCTTTTCTGTCAGTCTTTTATTTCAGTTAATGACTCCAATTCTCTAGTTGTCCCAAAGGATTTCAATGAGAAACCAAAAAAGTTCAGAAGAGTCATACTAGTTTTCATAGGCTTCTGGAAAGATAGGTAAACAAATGTAAATTTATTATTATACATAGAAACATAGAAATCTCTTTTACAGCACTGATTTAAAAATATAAAAAATAAAAATATTTTCCCAAATTTTTGCTGGATGAGGCATTGAAATGTCCAACTTCTTCGTATATTTTTCTATTAAAAATTTGCGGGTCCTGGAAACTCACATTCTCAATTTATACTGATGAATATTATATATAATACAAAAACTAAAAGTTGTCAAAAGTTGTAGTTATAAAAGTGGGTTTGTAAAAGAGAATGAGAATAGTAAAGCTTCTGCAGTTGGCATGTCATCTAAAAATGAAGTAATTATGGGTTCTTATTTGTAATTGTCATAGAAACTTGGGCTAAAGGCCTCTTCACAAAGTTTTTCCATTTCCAAGAAAGAAAAGTATTTCACAGCTCTAAAGCAAGATAGGGAAGTAGTACTAGGAAAACTAAAAGACCTTTCCATACTCTGTTCATTTTATATTGGTTCTTAGGGTTACAGGCCTACTAAATGAAAAAGTGGAATGGTACTTGAAATGGTATTTCAAGTTGAACTCAATTTTAAATATCATCAATCTAGTATAATTTCTTAGATTTAGCTTAAGATATCTGAAAAGTGAACAATGTTTCTAAAATATGGTGAGATTAGTATTTCAGTCAAGAAAAACAAAAAAGCATACCATTTATTATTTGGGACTCTTAGGAGGTCATTGGGCATTAATTAAAAAAATATTACAACTTGACACTTCATAGAGGCTAGAAACATAATTCGAAATTTCATAAAGATATATTAAATTAAAGCCATTTTAACAACACAAGATCTCACTGACAAGAGTTCATTTAAGGTGACAGTTTTGCTATAGTGTTACTGTTCCCACATGATATCATCTCTTCTCAATTTCATTTGAAGATTATGGACTTGTGTTGGATGAAAATTGCTGTTCTTCTGAAGAGAGTTATTTAGCAAACATTTTCTGGGGCGATTTTTTATGTTCTGTGATCCTTTAGGGTTGCTATCTTCTCGTTGAATACCTGAAGCTTCACGCATCTTTGAGTTTTGAACTTTTTGCTGCAGTTTACGAACCTGGAGAGAAAAAAAAATCTACCATTTTAGTCAAAAACATTAAAATATACCCTATAAAAGATGGATTTGATGGTTTAAAGATTACATAAGATTAAAAAGCTCAAGTTTTTATTAAATGAATACCTATTATATGCCTACTACTGTGCTAATCAGGTAGAAATATAATTAAAACAATCCTTGCTCTCAAGAAGCTTACTGCTCTTATTAGTGAAAGAAAAGCATAAACATGCCAGGTAGAGAGTAAGTCAGGCCAAGATAACCTGGAGTAGGACAAAACCGTGTATCTGAGAAGGCCAAAGTAGGACAAGGTCAGTGTGGCTGGGGAAGCTGAGAGAAAGGTTTATGGAAGACATGAAATGGGTAAAAACTATAAAAAAGAGGGGAGAGAGAAGCTTTCAGGTGACATCAGCAGCAAAGATTGGGTGCTAAGAATGAGCATCAAGTTTTTAGTCAAGTATATACAGGGTGTCCCGAAAAAATTTATACATACTTTGAATGATTATTCCAATGAGTTAAATCTGACAGGAAACATCAATTGAGCTATTAGCTGTTAAGTGTGTGTACATTTTTTTGGGACACCCTGTATATATATTACTTAAAAAAGTATTCCTGAATTTAAAGTACTACTTTGGCCCGGCCGGCCAGGCGTGGTTTAGCGGTTGAGCATCGACCTAGGATCCAGGCAATCAGGGTTCGATTCCCGGTCAGGGCACATGCCCGGGTTGCCGGCTAGGCAGCCGATCAATGACTCTCTCATCATTGATGTTTCTATCTCTCTCTCTCCCTTGCCCTTCCTCTCTCTGAAATCAATAAAGATATATTTAAAAAAATAAAAAAGAAAGTACTACTTTGTTGTTGCCAGTAGCAACAACAAAAAAGTCAAGGGAATAACTTTATCTGATTAAGAAGTATCTAGTAATGGTTGGGTAGACAGAATTAAACAAAACAAAATCTATGAACTAGCCAAACCCATTTCTTCCAAGTCCAGTCAATTACTTAATGTTTCACTTATGCACAGGCCTCATTTGTAGAGCTGATCCAGGCACAAGCGAAGTACCTGGTGTTCTATATGTCTAAGGCCATTTTAATCGCAGACATTAAATCTATCATGATAAAATACTTGAAAATTTATGCTACTACAGCCATTATGGAATATATTTTCAAGATATAATTTATGAGCTAAAATTTATGCCTAAATTTTTAAAAATTACTACTTTTCTATTCCCTTCAAGTTTCTCCTAAGTATGTTATATAATCTTCATTTCCTAACACAATCATACAAAAATTTTTATTTACTATAGCCTTAAAAGCCAGTAACGTGAACACGTTTGCTTCAAAATGTTCATTTCCCTTTCTTTCTTTATTGGCCATAGAAGTATAAAGGTAGTAAAATTCTGCATCCTTTATTATTGTTCTATAAAGTGAAGGAGGCTTAATTGCAAGGCTAATATATCACCAATTTATATGCTGATTACTGCACAGGTAGATAGCTATCCTATGTGATTTGAGAGCTCCTGGAAAGTCTCCCTCTGCCTTCTGCTCCAGCAGTGCAATAGTGCTAAAAATCCAACCTATGAAGTCACTGTCTTGGGATCAAATATTATAATATTCCATAATTCATCTTAAAATACTAAAATTGTTATGCCACTCTTAGTTATTAAGAATTCCCATGCAAGGACAGAGTCCCCCTCACCACCTCAGCACAGGTCCTCAGGGAACGCAGCACAGCAGAGTTTGCTCCGGGAAAGTGGAAATAGTGGTTTTAGGATTGGGTACTGCTTAAGGAGTCAGGTTTATGTATGGTTCTGAATTAGAGACCTGTCAACATAAGGGGCTTCATTCAGCATACCTCACAATTTTCCCAAAGACATTTCTGAATACGTAACTAAATCTTCTTTCTCCCCTTTCATTCTTATTTTGGAAAGTTATGTAGGAGGCCATGTTATTCCAATGGGACAGATGGTTCTATTCTATAACAGGCCTGCGTGAATTGTTTATCATCTTTTCACTAAGTCATATACACAGACCTCAAATTTGGAAGGTCGTACAAAGATATAACACTGAATCCAGGTATATTATCTTTTTATTAAAATCTTTTACTAAAGCCTTCTTACACTGTCTTGATGCTTAATCAGTTTGGAAATCTGTTCTCCTTTAATTTCCATTTTCTTGACTAAATGCTCTAGTTCACATTCTATGTCTTCAGAGACTGCATGGCTTTCAGTTTCCTTCATTTGGTTCAGTAGTTCTTGGTGCTCTCTATGAAAGAAAACAAATATTAGACACTGTTATAAATTTTAGTTAAATATTAATCTTCAAAGACAGTCTGTTCCTATAATTAGGACTATCTAATTAAATACATGGTAAATGTAAACAGGCTCTTGTGATTTGAGATGAGATACATTTAGAAATATCTTAGACTTAGGGTCTTAAAGAACCTTAAAAGAAAGTCCCAATTCTTGACATTCATAGCTAAATGTAGCAAAATATTCTGATGTCCTTAGCTAGAGGCATTAAAGTATTCTCTTTAGTTCCAACTTTGGAATTATTAATGTAGGATCTTTGGAAGAATTCCAGCTATAGAAGTATTTGCCAGAGAAATCCCTAGATTAGGTGATAGCTTACTCAAAGAAATACTGTCAAAGGAACTAGTTACATCTTCCACATTGGTCTTAGTACAATTAGCTGGCCAGCCAAATCACATATTTTCTGGAATCTTGTTAAATATATAAACTTGGGGCTAAAAATATGTATCTCATACTGAATCTTGTTTGCTACTGATGCTTCAACTTGTAATGCAGACCAGCCAGAGTCTAAAACAAGAAACTACATTCCTACTTGTCTAATGAAATCACTCATTTAACTAAAAGAGTATAAAAAAACAAAATAATCTTTCTTGTAAAACCTTTTGTGAGTTATAATTTAAGATCACCAGACCCCAGTTGTTAGAATGACAATATTGCACTAAAAGTTGAGATTTTGGAAATATAGAAACTCCTTAGATTAGAACAGTAGTAGTAATTACACACAGTTGAAATTTTTAAATCCAGGAATAAATACAATGAAAAATCAGTGACAAAAAATCTGCAGAACAAAATAAGTCCAAATTGCTAAGTGAGGCCATTAAGAATTTATAAGTGACACTGTTCTTAAGACTAAGAAGGAAAATAATACCTAAATATCTTGCTACTTCTCCTGATAAAAAATAAAAATACTTACATACTCATTTGGTCCAGCTCATCTTGCATTGCCATCAAAAGTTCAGACAAATTGTCACAAATGGAAACAGATTTTTCTGAGTTAGGAGGTACAACTTTACACTGGGAAGTTGTTCTAGTAGGCTTGTAGAGACATCTAGGCTCAGTAACTTCAGTGGGTTTCTGAAGAATATGTGACCCATAATGTTGCATCATTTGCAGGAGGTTTTGCATACTTGTATTTGCAGAATGGTGTGCACTGGCAGACTTTAGGGGAAAAGAAATAGCTGAGAACAATGTCAAGTGACTGATGGCATTTAAACAGAAATTACAACAAAGCAGGAGTTTTTTTGAATAAGTATCTTCATTTTTCCCCCTCTCACCTTCTCAGCCACAATGGGCAGTGATCCAGACTTTGAATAAAGTTGCTGAGGTGGTCCTCTTTTTAAACATTTAGTTTTCTAAATATTGAGAAGGGAAAAAGAAAACAAAAATATTTTCAAAGGCATTTATGACATGAAGAAGTCTCAAAACTCAACAGTAAATAAATAATCTGATGAGAAAATAGGCAAAAAAGAGAGATTTCACTGAAGAGGACATATAGATGGCAAATAAACACATGAAAAGATGCAGGTTCACATAACTTTGAATTTTACATAAATGGACTTATTTTGTTTCTGTTCTTGAGCAACTTGCTTTTTCCACTCAACATTAAGTTTATGAGGTTCATTCAACTGATATATATACCTGTGGTTCACTTTTTTTTATGGCTATAAAAACTTTATTCTTCCTCCTTTCAACGATCATTTGAATTGTTTCTCACTTTTTGTTATTATAAACAATACTGTCTTGAACATTTAGTACCTGCCTCCTGCTGTATATACACAGGAGTTTCTCTTAGATGCTGGGCCATAGAGTCGTGCATCCTTAATTTTACAAGATAATGTCCAAAGTGATTGGACCAACCTATGTTTTAGCCAACTTTTATGACTGTTCCATATCCTTACCACAATCTTTTTTTGTTTGCTTTGTTTTCACTTTTTACTTTGAAATAATTATAGATTCAAAGGAGATTACAAAAATACATACAGGGAGGTCCCCTCTATCTTTAACCAGTTTCCCACAATGTTAATATCTGGCATAAATATAGTATAGTACAGAGATTCCAAGATGGCTGCAGAGTAGCTGTAAGTTGTGCTCACTTGCTCCCAGCCCCAAACCGGATTTACAACTAAATTACAGAGCAATCAGCCTGAAAAACCAATTGAAGGCTGGTTGATCTGAAATATTATAACCATTGAAGCCACACAGAGACTGGTAAGAAGGGTGAAGACACAGAAAGGACAGCCTTCTCACACGGTGCAGCGGTCCATGAGAAGCTGGAGGGATAACACAGCTGCAGACCTCCCTCCTCCCTTAAAAGCCTGAGGTCTCAACCCCACACAGCGATCCCTAAACCAGAGCAACAGAAACAGGAGCCCAAATAGCATGTGGTGGTGGGAATCAGTGGGGATTCAGCCTGCCTGGGAGATTTAGACCATACCCAAGGATAGAGCACTCCTAAAGTTACAGCACCAGCCTGGGGAGTTCACTCTGGACTCCTATAGTAAGGCCATGCTGCCATACTTGGGTCCTGCGGAGGGGTCTGCTGGCTACACCCAGCAGTGACTTTAAGGGGCCCTCTATTTTCTGGGTAGGCTTTTGGTGGAGATCCAGATGGTGAGTAAACAATGTGGCTTGAGAAAGGGGGCCAGTCTCCCCCACCTCCATCACATAGCTGGTGCCCACCGCCCTACCAGTTGAACAGCTAGGCCTGCCTTGTCCTGCTGGGTTTGGGTTTGGGGGTTGGGAGCAGAGAGCCGCACAGAGCTGGGATTTTTGTATTGTGTCTCCTGGGGAGGCTTCTGTTTGGGGGCCGGTCGGGCAAGTGCTGGGCTGTGTGGCTACATTGAGTGGAGGCAAATCCAAGCTCCCCTGTGAGTTCAGCCCCCACTACCTTGGGAAGGAGAAGAAATGCCTGCCCATCTCCTACAAACTTTCGGGCACTACCCTCAATGGGAGGCTGTTTGGATCAGTCCTGCCAAGACCCAGATATCCACGCTGGGCGCAGTTCCATTGGGGAAAGGGGGACGTTCAAAGTGTGAGACCCTCAGAGGCTGTTGTCTGGGACCAGCGCCAAATGCTTAGGCCCCTCCTGCAGGCTGGGCTGGGATCATCCCCATTGGGAGACTCTTCTGATCTACACCTCTGAGCCCAGGGAGGCTAAGTTTGCTCCTGCAGAGGGGACAGCTGGTTGTAACCAACCTGAACCTGCAGTGAGCCCCTTCCCTTCCCTTCCCCCCAAAGGGAAACTAGGGTTGGAGACTCTGGCAGAGGCTGAGGGATTTGGCTTTGAAACAGGGGTTACTTTCCCCTCACTGAGTGTCTGACTGCATGATCCCCAAGTAGAGGACCCACTAGCCCTACAGTGGCTAGCCTGGGCTCTTTTAGAAGCTACCTTTTTTCTTTCCTTTGTTTCTTTTTCCTTACTTATCTCTCTACCTTCATTATTTTTATAATGAATAAAAAATTTTTTGAAAATTTCCACTAACTCAACAAAGGATGCCGTAAGACATAAATATAAAAATAGTTCATTATTTTTTTCCACCGGCAAATTACTTATAGTGATTTTCTATTTGGCTTTGCAGTTTCTAATCTCATTGTACAAATAAGATACAGAACAAAAATTTAAGAAAGGAAATAAGCAAAAAAAATCAGCATAAAGTTTCACTGGGAAAATGTTTTTCATTATTGCCATTTGTAAATTCTCTGAAAGAAAAAATTATGTAAAATACAGCCAGATTATTGAACAGTAATTCTTATTTATGCAATAAAAGGGTAGCCAAACTTAAGTACAATGTTCTCTACCTTACTGAATACATAGTGTGAGCCTATGGCAGTGGCCAGAGTTCTCAAAAATCATCTCTGCTTCCACAGCAAATGGCACACAGAAGCACTCATTACATGCATATTGAATAAATAGTAATAATGGTCATCAAAACTATAATTTCAGAATCATAAGATTAAAAAGGATTAAAATTTTCTCTCTTACCATTACAGATAATTAAGAAGGTTTAATACAATTTATCCAAGCTATCAACTCATCTAGAGTTTAGTACTAGGAAAATGTTTGTCTTTCTAGAAAAACTGGAATGCCTATTATTTCACAAAGGCAGACATACTGGCCATTATATGCTCCTTTTTGCTTTCACTGTCAAGCAAACTCAGCTAGGTTTTGTGTTCAACTGCTGTTGAGGTTTTATGTAATTTTCTGTCCTTACACCCCAAACCACCATCACTTGATTCATATTTTTATCTCCATCTTATAGCAGTATTGCATGTCTTTTATTATAAATCTCTCTAAATTTTCTTGGGAAATGGATAGGTATAAATATTAAGAGTCAGTAAATAAGTATTAGCAAATAAAAATAAAGTGTTTGCATACCTTTGAAGATTTCTTTCTTTCCTTAGATCGTTTTGGGTTTGATACTGAAGACATTAAAATTCTATTGATTTCAAGTCCAGTTTGAAGCTACAATATTAAAGACAAAACTTTTTAAAACTGATTTTTAACAAGCTTCTTTACAATGAAAGATCAGGTCTCAACTTATAAAGATAAAAATGCGTTTTGAAAAAAAAGAAAACCCAAAATACTATTTATGTGTGTGTGAAGGTCATTAAATCTGTTGGTAATTACAATCATTTATTGTTTATAAGAGAATGAATTATTTAATGTATATATCAACCAAAGAGATAACAATTTATAACCAGGAGTTGTTATATATATCTATGTACATAGATATATAGATCTCTCTCTCTCTCTATATATAGTCAAAATTTCAAAACATTAAAAGACCTCTTGGCAATGCATTCCAGTATATGAATGTATTGGCTTATTGAGAATTTCATTAAGAGACAAAACTAACAAGCTAGGAAGCAGAAACTGGATTCTAGAATATAGGCTTCAGTTAAAAAAAAATCAAGTATGCCCTGGCTGGTGTGGCTCAGTGGTTAAAGCACTGGCCCTCTCATCAAAGGGTCTCGGGTTCAATTACCCATCAAGGATATATACCTGGGTTGCAGGCTGGATCCCTGTCCTCCGCCCCCCCATCCACTCTCTCTAAAAATCAGTGTAAAAAATATCCTCGGGTGAGGATTAACAACAACAAAAGAAAAGAAAGTAGAACTGTGATATATGATATAGTGCTCTATTTACCTCAGAAGCTTTGTCTTGAAATAGCTTACGCTGATGTTCTTCTTCCTTAAGTTTTTCCTCTAAATGTTTAATCTTGTCCTGCAAAATAAAAAAATAACTCAGCCAAATAACTAGAGCCAAATACCCTTTGTTCCTTTTCCAAATAGAGCCCTTGGGGTCTTGATTCTTAATAGTTTGGCAAATTAAAGCAGAAAGTAAGAAAAAGGAATGGCAAAAGACAGTAAGGTTTTTCTTGGCTTTCTTCTATGCTCCTTTACCTGCTATTACATATAAGAACAAAGGGAAAACAAAGAATGTACATGCATAGGCATTATTAACTTCCAGCAACAAAACCATAATGATGAAACTTTGGGGGGTATTAAAGGTCTAGAAGGTCAAATAATTATAGTCCTGGGTCTTAATGTTTCATTCAAAATACAGACAAATCACAATAAACGTCTGTCATGTACATACAATAAGGGCATAGTTGGAGAAGGTGGGAAAGGATAAGACATTAAAAATATAAGGTATGGTCCTTGTTACTTAAGAGCTTATATTATATGTATGAAATCAAGAGTAGCATAGATGAAACAAACAACAAAACAATGGACATGATTTGACCAAGACCAAGTATTTCGTTTTACATCCTTGGTGTGGTTCAGAATAGGAGGATAGTACCATTTCAAAGGAAGAGTATCCTGAGTGTTGGAGAACTCAAGGAAAGCTTCCAGGAAGCAGGACCTGGAGAAAGTCCTATGGAATAGACAGAATTTTGGTGGAAAAAGGAGAGGGCATTGCAAGATGGGATGTATTAAGTTAAGCATTTCAGGCTTAACTTCACTGCAAGTGGTGAAAGACAATCTTCTCAATATCCTTTAGGTAAATTATTTGAAATGAAAATGTTCTGCCATCTGAGAAGAAGCCAAAATTACAATTTTCCATCAACAGGCAAGATCATTCATGCTGTGACAGAATATATTAACTTTTCATCTCCATAGGCAGGACTTCATGTTTGGATTACTAGAAATTGTTAATGAAGTTTTATAAATGTAAGATTTACTGCATATTCACATACAGAGCCAATTATGCCTCATACTAAAGATTTATTCCTGGCATCACCACTTCAAAGAAATTAAGTGGAAGCTTACCTCAGCAGTTTTCTGAGTTGTTGTAAGTTTAAAACATTCTTTTTCTAAAGTGTCAAGCTTTTCAAGTTTTGCTTGCAGCTTCATATGATCTTGCTCTTTTTCCCTTTGAAGTTGGGCCTGGAAAGGATAAAAACAAAACCTGAATTTGGCAAGTGATGCCAAGGGCTCAAGAATAATACAATTTCTCACAATTCAAAGCACAGTATAAATCTGTCTTAAGAAACATGTATATACATGCACCTAGTTTAGGTGTAATATAAATCTGTCATAAGAAACATGTACACCCCTGGCTAGTGTGGCTCAGTTGGTTGGAGCACCGTCCCGTACACTGAAAGGTGGCAGGTTCAATTCCTGGTTGGGGCGCATATGGGAGGCAACCAGTCAGTTTCTCTCTCACATCTATGTTTCTTTCTTTCTCTTTCTCTCTAAAACAAACAAACAAACAACAAAAACAAAGAAATATGTACATACACGAACCAACTTTAGGTGCTTACAAGGAAAAGCCAAGAAAATAAAATATCTTTAAATAAGAAATAAAATGTGCAAAAAAAGATGTGCTACATTAGCACCAATGGAACAAACATTTCTGTGCATTTTTATATAACATTTCAACTAAGAAAAACATCATCAGTGAAACCTGTATTAAAGTGTTATACACAGAGTGACCAAATCTACTCATTGAATTACCCTTTCTCTGTAACATAGAAAAGCAGCTATCAGAGAAATAAAGCATACAGAGAACATGGAGAAGAGGAGAGTTATACATATATATGCATATCTATCTATGCACTGTTTTGTAATGGTACTTATTACAATGCAATATGTTAATAAAGGCAACAGTGAGGGGGGCAAAGGGTAGAAGAAAATATTCTAGAAAAAAGTTTACTAGTTTCTTATAAAGTTAAACATATATACCTACCCCGTGGCTCAGCAATTCTACTACTACATATTTACCCAAGAGAAATTAAAACATATGTCCACAGAAAAGATTTGTATAAGAACATCATAGCAGCTTTATTTATAATACCCCCAAACTGGAAATAAACCAAATGTCCATCAACAGGAAAATAGGTAACCAAATTGTGGCATATCTATATAATGAAATTCTGCGCAGCAATAAAAAGGAATGAACTACTGATACATAAAACAACATGCAAGAATCTCAAAAACTGTATACTAAAAAAAAGAACAGGATACAAAAGAGTATATTTTCTATGATTAAATTTATATAAAGTTCTAGGACAGGCAAAATTAATCTAAGGCAGAATAGTACTTGTCTTGTTGGGAGGTAGGGAGAGATCAGAGAATAACTTGGAAGAGATATGAAATAATTTCTGATGAAAATGTTTTATTATTTTAGAGGGCTGTGGATTATATGAGTATATGCATTTATCAATAATCACTGAACTATATACTTAAGAGCTGTACCTTTCACTGTATGTAGATTATATGTCAATAAAACATTTAAAAAACTGTTATAAGTCACTGATCTATAATATTCAGCTAGGATAGGGATTTCTAGGTTATTGGGAATGTGCATGGTAATTTTACAAGATAAAGTGGTTGCTCTTTCTGGTTGTTGTATCCTCATTTACATACAGAATTGTCAGACTTTTTAAATTTTTTCCAGTCTGGTATGTGCCCCAACTGGGAATCGAACCCACAACCTTTTGATGCACAGGACAACACTCTATAAACAACTGAGCCACGGGGCAGGGCTCTTATTGTGTTTTTAATTTGCATTCCTCTGGTTACTAATGAGATTGATCATCTTTTCTATAGATGTATGTCCATTTGTGATTCCTTTTTTCCTGCAAAATGCCTCTTTATAACTTTGCCCATTTTTCTTTGTTGTTTTGTCTTGTTTAAGAAATCCTTCTAGCCCTAGCCAGTTTGGCTCAGTGGCTAGAGCACTGGCCTGTGGACCGAAGAGTCCCGGGTTCAATTCTGGCCAAGGGCGTGTACCTCAGCTGCGGGCTTGATCCCCAGCCCCTGGTATCTCTCTCCCATTGATGTTTCTCCCTCCCTCCCTCTCTGAAAAGCAATGGGAAAAACAATATATCCTCAGGTGAGGATTAAAAGAAAAAAGAAAACCCTCTACCCCAAGGTCATCTAGACATTGTTCTGCATTTGCTTCTAAAAATTTCAAAGTTTTGCCTTTTATGTTTCTATCTTTAATCCACCTGAAACTGATTTTGTGTATGATATGAGGTAGCAATCAAACTATTTTTTCCCTTAACATGGATAACAAAATTTCCCAGACCATTATTGAAGTCTATCTTTTTCCCAATGATGTGCAATGGTACCCTTGTCATATATTGAGTTTCCATACAATATACTGACTACATTCTACTCCTTTATTCCGCTGTCTATCCATATAAATATCATGTTAATTTTGATGACATTACAGTTTTAATACATAGAAGAGTAAGGTCTCACCGTATTCTTTTTCAGAATAGTTTGGCTATTCTTGGACCCTTGCTTTTCCATATAAGCTTTAGAATCAACCTTTCCAGTTCCTTGAAAAACCTACTAAATACCTGACCAATTAAAATTCAGTACTGACTGGTACTTTTACCCATTTCCAAGACAATGCAAAGGCCTTAGAACACTTTAAACTACATGCATCCCTTCCTAATTTATCAGCTATTATCATTAATTTTAATCCTTTATATATATTTAAACCACATAAAACATACATTATTGTTGTCTAATACAATATTCATTTACCTATATATTTACTATCTTCACTGCTCTTCATTCCTGCCTGAATCTCTGACCTGCCATCTAAAATAATTTTCCTTCTGTCTGAATGCCCTAGTACTTCCTAAAGCAGGGATGGGGAACTTTTTTTTTGCCAAGAGCCATTTGAATATTTATAACATCATTCATGGGCCATACAAAATTATTAACTTAAAATTTAGCTATGAAAAAAGCTCCTAGATTTATTGAATTTCGAGTCTCACCTGTGGTTGCCTTGGCAGGGCCAGACCAAATGATTTTGTGGCCTTATATGGCCCTTGGGCCAGACGTTCCCTACCCTTGTCCTAAAGGGTGAATTTCCTAGTAATAAATTATTTCAGTCTTTGTTAGTCTTAAAATGTCATTATTACACCTTTCTTTCTAAAGGATATTTTTCCCAGTCATGATTTTTAATTGGCAGTTATTTTCTTTTAATGCCGTAATTATATCAGTCCACTGTCTTCTGGACTCAATACTTTCAGTTGAGAAGTCAGCTGTCCCTTTAATGTCCCTTTGAATGTAATCACCCCTCCCCCCCCCC